TACAACAATTCCAGCCCATTCATTTCCTCAAGTAGTATTCTACATGGTGGATATGTAGCACATACACAATGCATGTATCAATGAAATGTATCAATAAAATGTGTCAATGAAATGTATCAATGAAATGTATCAATGACATGTAAGTTTAAAAGTTCAAGTACATGATCACAGGCATGCTATTTTCTCACACTCCTTGAGGTATTTGGCTGACCATTAAAACTTATCAGAATTCCTTGACTTTTACCATCTGGTTTAAATTTATGCTAGATATGTATGCTCACCAAACTACTTTTCGCAAAAAACAAAAAATGTGTCAAACACCCATGGAAGTGGCAATTTTTGAGCCATTCCCCATCGGTTGCCATGTTTTCAGACTGGTTTTTGTACTGGGTAAACAATACTAAAAGTTGAAAACCATTCAATAATTATGTAACATTTTAGAAACAAAAAAAATTATAATTATTATTATACATTATAAACACTACTTGTCTTTGTTCCGAGTTACTTTTAATGAACTTGAGAATACTTCAAAATGGAGGCCCCTGGGAAATTTCTCCCTAGTAATTCTACTGTATCACAGTTATTTCAATCACTGCAAATTAGTCAATTGTATACTTGGGTGAGTTACCATAGCAACACAGATGACTCATGGAAATACCTGCATACACACCATTAAAGAATGAAAGTGCAAATACCATTGTTCCTGACATCACAATTGCGATATTCTCACCTTTACCATTTGTTTTTTCTACCTGGAGGTGTTTTGAGTGACAAACCTCAATATGGAACACGGTAATTTGGGTTGGAAATTATTCTCATTCCAAATACTAAGTGCCCCCCCCCCTCCGTATTTCATAAGATATTTGAAGGTATGTGATTACATATATATAATGATTACTATAACCAATATTAAAGGTTTTCTTAATGAAAGAAATCAAAATTTTAATAAAACAAGAAACTAGATTAAAATCACTGTTTTCAATCAGAACACTTAGAAATAATAAAACATTACATATGTATGTTATGTAAAACCTAAATAATTATATTGTGTGCCGTGTAAATTTAGAAACTGATTTGTAAGATATGGATATCACTTACTTTTACCACATCTGATTTTTAATAACTCTAAATTTATGCAATAATATGAGCCGTATAAGTGCATGACGAATGTGTTCCCGAAATGATCTGCCGTAACAAACAAGGTTGCATTGGAAACTACTGGTTTGATTTTCATTAAAATCAATATACAATTACAAAGCAGTTGCAATGATTGCTACCAATTCCAATAGCACTACAGTCTAGCTAAGGATGAGTGACATGCACAATTTACCTGCATTGTGGGAAATCCCAAAACATCACATTCAGAAATCACGTAATAACTATTATTATATATCTGTCACCGTAACGCTATAAGTTACAGGGTGCCTTAATTTTGCAATATTTTACAGGGTATTTTCATCTTTCCATATAAAGAAATGTGGAATGATTACGCGCATAAGCGTCCTCTAATAATAAAAACAAACATGGCTGCCAGCAGGGTTTGACTGGACTCTTTACAAAGAAGTTCGCTGATTCTGTTCTAAATTTTTGGATTTTAGCATTCCCATGATGTATCCATGGAAGGAAAAGATGTATATTAATAAGGTTATTTACGAGAATACCTCAAAGTACAAATTTTCAGTTTTTTTACTCAAAAAGTTTGACTATTTTTGTCCTAAACTTCTGAAGGAAAGTGCAGACTATAAACAGACTATTTTGCGATGAAAAGAGGGAACTGGAGGTGAAAAAAGTTAACCATGTTATACACAAAACTATGTACAAGCAAGATGGTCAGATAAATACATTTTAATTGACTCTACAATTATTTACCAGTTCTTTGAATTTATTTGTAAACATAAAGCGTATCAGTCTCCCAGTACATGGGATTATTTGCCAATGCTACGCCATACGAAAGATCAAGGGGTACGTCATTTTGAACCCATCTGGCATGGTGCCAATATACAATTCAAATGATATGATGTTTCTCAATAAACAATAACTTCCAGAGACTTAGCAATGTTTTTAACATACTGGTAATTCAGCCCCAACAGCGAGGATACACACCAAAATAGTACGATATTTCATTCACGGGCATATGGAAATTATGGGACCCCGGTTTAAAGGTGACATAAATAATCAATATTCCAAGAAAAAATATTTGCAATAAACACTGCTTTTGCTTTATTATTAGTCCCATTAGGGCATGTACTTAGGCAAATGAAAACAATAAGTCTATGGTCAAAGTTAGTCATTTTAACAACTCAGTATACAACTGCAATTTTTCGGTATGCGCAATTTCATTGAAGACAAGCAGTGGTTGGAGAAAGTAAAGTACACATATATGTTTCTTGTGTTTTGAAGCAAGTCCAAGATTTTTGTTTAATGTATTCTATAAACATAATTGAAGTCATGAATTTTACATTTTATTATATTTCAATGATTCACAAACAAACTGGTCCATACTTGACAAACTCAGCACTCATATCTAGATCAAGTACCCAAACCCAGACATTTGTACGATTTCTACATAACTGGATTCTCAATTCACTTAGTGCCTACACCTTCCAGAACACTACACTCCCTACAAATAAAGCTGCCTGGTTATGAAACCTGGTCACAGGATATTATTTTAATTTTTCCAACAATGAAAATATAGATGGTCTATCATGGAAAGGAGGTGAAGGTTTACCTACGAATCATGTAGAGCCACGCGTCATAGCAAAAATCATTCCACATTGAGCGTTTGTATACAACTAAATATATTCAACAACGAAGATAATTATAAAGATCTTTTTCCACTGACTTAACCGAATAAACATTATACTGTGGAATACTTTATTTTCGCTGGAATTTATTTTCGCTGAAAAGGCTTTTTGGGCGTTTTGCTTGGAATTTATTTTCACTGATTTTTGATGAGATTAATGTAAAATATAGGAAAAAATGTATATTCGCTGGATTTTATTTTCACGGAATCATCCCTTCAGCGAAAATAGCGAAAATAAATTCCAAGCGAAAATAAAGTATTCTACAGTATTGTAAATTCTGATGGTGCATAAATAATGTATAAAATTTGCATTTGTTTTTGTAATTCATTGTAAAAATGATGATGTGTTCAAATCCAATTTGAATATTAGGAGGACATTTTTTTTATTTCCCTGCAGTATATTTCAAATAACTAACGTTGCTTTGGTAACATATTAAAAAGAGACACTGCTCTTTTTATTACTAATGTGATTAGAACAAAGCGACCCTGCAGAAATTCAATGCCTGGAATGCATATTTAATCAATCCACTGCTATTTTCTGTCAAACCACATCGTTAAAAGCTTTCAGTTTAAAGAGCAAGAATGAGTCC